CTTCCCCAGTATCGCATCAGCCTCCTTAAGTATTTCCTTCTTTTTATTTCCTATTTGGGATTATTTTAAGTTTTACAGACAGAATTTAATTCTTGGGAACCCTCTAACTTTACCAGAGCTGTCCAAGTTGGTGGTGGTGGCTGGAAAGAAAGGGGCAGGTTAGGGAGACATTAACAAGGGGCATTTGACAAGACTTGGTGACCATCTGGACATGTAGGAAGGGGAGATGACCCCCAGGTTTCTGTTCTAAGGCAACTGGGTAACTGGTGGATCCTGTGGCCGAGATAGAAGTCATAGAAGGAGGAGGAGGATAGTGAGGAAGAGAGAGAGCAGGCTGTCGGGGAAGGTAACGGCCATGGTCTGGGATGTTTGTAGTCTGGGGTTTCCATGGGAGGCAGGTGGGGGTGTAGAGGAGGTCACTGAGTATAAGACACTGATGCTCTGGATAGGAAATGTGACTGGGGAGGCCGCTGAAGCTGGGGGAGCAGATGAGACCACTCAGTGGGCCTGTGCTAATGGAGTGCCCATGGTTAGGGATGGTGCTGGAAGAAAAGTCCTCGAAGGAGACTGTGAAGGAGCAGCCAGAGAAAGAGGAGAAAAGCCAGGAGAGGAGCAGGAATCAGGGGCCACCGGAGGAAGAGTTCTGAGACAGAGGAGGTGGCCAGCAGCTCTAAGTGATAGACAGAGATCAGTTCAGAAAAGGACAGGAAAGTGCCCGCTGAATTAGCAACGGAGGATCATTGGGGATCATGGGGAGGCAGCTTCCTGGGAATGGAGGGGGTGGGAGCCTTTTGGAGGGGGGGTGGAGGAGGGAGTGGGGAAAGAGGAAATGGGAAAAAGACACAGAGGGGGATCTAAAGAGTCATTCATTCATTCATTCATTCATTCATCCATCCAACCAACAAATGGCGGGGCAGCTGTGCACCCTGCACCACTCTGGGCCCTGGGACACATCAGTGGCAAAACAGGCAAAAATCCTGCCTTCAGGATGTGTACTTTTCATCGAGATATAGTCTGGAGGGAGGAGTCACTTTAAAAGACAGGTGTTAGGATTATCATCATTTAACAGACGAGGAAACCAAGAGAGACTAGATGGTAACTTGCCCACGTTCACCCGAATGCCAGAGCTGTGGGTCAGGCCCTGACCTGCCTGACACTTTCCTTTCTAGGGTGCCTGAAGGGCGTGGGGTCTAGGTGGGAAGAGATGATACAGAAGACATAACAGGAAGGGGGAGAATATAGGCATGAGATGCAGAATTAGTTATGGCTGGGTGGGTGGTCCTATTCAAGGCAAGGCTTCTACTTGGTCCCATGGTCTTCATTTCCTGCTGTCCTTTATCTCCCCTTATATAGGAGTAGAATCTCCCCTTCCTCTGGGACTTCTGTGCCTATGGCTTGATTGGCGCAGAACCATCTCCACATCCCTTTGTTGGGGGTGGGCACATTAACCCAAGCAAGGCTCCCTGAGATTAGATACAGAGATGCTAGAAAGAAAGAGGGTCTTTATTTCTTTGGGATGGTGAGCTTAGGGACCACGGTGGGCACCCACAGCCATTTGACTATTTGAAGAAAACCCCAAGCAGAGAGGAACAGAGCCAAGAGATACGGACCGAGAGTGGGCTCTGACTACATCATCTGAGTTCCTGGATCCAGCTCTGCCAAAATCTGTCAAGAACCATCTCAGATGTCCTGACCACTTGAGCCAATGATTTATCTTTTTCTCCCTAACTTGAGTTGGGTTTTGGTGGAGCCATACTTATTTGCTACTTCCTTTTTTTTTTTTTTTTCCTTTTTGTCTTTTTTTTTCGTGTCCGGCAACGGATCGCAACCC